AAACTGCTCTTTTTCAAGGACAGTTGTGCCAGAGCTTGTGACTGACCCAAGGTCACATCAGCAGGTGCAAGTGGAGGAGTGGGGAATCAAACCCGGTTCTCCCAGATTAGAGTCCGCACACTTAACCACTACACCAAACTGGCACTACACCAAACTGGGACACATTACTAGGACACATGTTGTTATGACATATGCACTTAAAATACATGCTATATTTTAAGCTATTAATAGGCTACCTGAGAAACTACAAAGGGGGAAATAACTCCTGCCTCCCTCCCAAACCTCACTTTCCTGGATCCTACGAACTCTCAAGAGCTGGAGCAGGCTCTTTTCTTCCCCTTGGCACTTTCATCTGCACCTCAGCTGGTCTCCACATTGCATCCTTCCCAGAGCAAATATAGTCCTCATCAAGACATTTTACTTTTTCTTCCTTAATTCACAGTGTCATTTTCGGTACACCTGGCAGTCCCTTGAATATGTAGAGAATCTCTATTTTGTCTGTAGGGGGCCCCATAGTATGGCTTTCCTCATCCATACAGGAGATAGCCAGTTTACTAGTAAATATATAAGCCATTAAAAATACTGCACCAGAAACAGTGAATGAAGTGTTAATTCTGCAAGTGAATTCTCTTCCAAGAAATGAAAATACCCGTCACATACAGGGCTAGATATCGCACAGGAGTGTTCGAATTCAACCTTTTTCTTGACATTGTAGTTTTCTATGTGACAGAATCTTTTCTTGTGGGCAACATTTTATCATGGAGCTCCTCTTGCGGGCTGGAGAGATACATCCAAGGAACAGCTTTACAACATTATCTACTATTTATGAGAACTAGGCCTTAGTGCAAAAGATTTAATACATGCATATAATCTGACACTCAATTTTTCCAAAGGCAGCTTAGTGCACCTGGCTGATAAAATATAAATGCCCACTTTACTGTCCAAAACTGCAATCTCAATCACATAGGAACCAATGAAGTATGGATTCTTCCTGCAACCATATAGTAAAATAGAAATCCTGCAACCATGTTGATGAAGTATTTACTTACCATGCTAGTTTTGCCTCAGATCCTATAGGTGAGAAGTAACTTCCTCATGCCATGCTGCAGCACCCCCCTATACCTAGGGTGCTTGGTCTGGCAACCAGTGGGAGTTGGATTTATAACCCGCCCTTCACTCAAAGTCTCAGAGCAGCTTACAGTCTCTTTCCCTTCCTCTCCCCTATGAGAGAGCTCCGAGAGAACTGCTCTTGAGAACAGCTCTGAGAGAAATATGATTGACCCAAGGTCACCCAGCTGGAATGGGGAATCAAACCTGGAGTTTGGGATGAAGGGGAACATGGGAGGTGGCCATCAGCCATAGAGTTTTTGGTGATTTCCAGAGAGATGTGACATCACGTCTGGGTATTCGTTGGAAGTGATGTCATACTGTCAGTTCAATGAGAAAACTATAGAGTTATCAGCAATTCCTGGAGTGGACTGCAATAATGGAAATTATATGGCTGGGGAAGCCCGGACCACTTGGGTGGCCACTTCTATCAACCCTTAATGGGGTCTGTCTTTCTTCAATCGACCTGGTCAGGAATTTGGGAGTATGGCTCCATTTTTTGCCCTCCATGGACATGGGAAGCTTGGATCACTCAGGTGGCTACTTCTACTGACTCTTAATGGGGTCTGTCTTTCTACAGTCAACTTGGTCAGGTATTTGGGAGTATGGCTCCATTCTTTGCTCTCCATGGACAAACATGGTGACAAAGACTGTTTCACCATCTACTCCGAGTCCACCAACTGGCTCACTATCTGTCTCGGAAGGACCTTGCCACAGTAATTCACTCAACAGTCGCCTTGAGACTAGACTACTGTAACATGCTGTATGCAGGGCTACCTTTGAAGATGCTTTGGAAGCTGCAACTGGTCCAGAATGCAGCTGCCAGACTGCTGATAGGAGTGTCCTGGTCAGCGCATATAACACCTATCCTACAGCAGCTGTACTGCTTCCCAATTAATTTCTGGTGCCAATTTAAAGTGTTGGTACTTACCTTTATTTATTTATTTATTTATTTATTTATTTACATGGGACTTATATACCGCCCATAACCCCTAACGGGTCTCAGAGCGGTTTACAGGGGCATTCTTACGAACTTGTTAGCCCTATCTAAGGCCACATACCGAAGGGGTGGGGATTCCCTACCAGCACCCTGTGATAGGTCCGCTGCATTCTTCTGGCTGCTTGGCAGCTCTCCCTCTTTCGGCGGTTCTCTTTTCTCCGGCGATTTTTTCTCCACTGGTCGGCTGCTTCTTTCTTTTTGGTGGGACCGTCTATCCGGCGCCTGTCCTCGTGTCTGCTCAGCCTCGGCTCTGTCCTAGCTGGCTCCACCGCGCTTTACAGTCCACGTCATCAGACGCCGACGCCAGTCTCCACCGCAATCTTCCGCCGCCAGGGATCGCTCGACCGATGTTCTTCTTGCCGAGTGCCATCTCGGCTTCGCCGCCGCCGCCATTGATGTTTTCTCGCCGAACACAGCTGCGGCCACCACAAACCTCTTTTTGTTACAGAGGCAGGTGCCCCCCACCCTTCTAAGGGTGGGTACCCATTTACCTACTCGCATGATGTTAATCGCTTTCGGGCCGCTGGGTAGGCGGGAGCTGGGACTCGGGCCAGGCGCTCACCCTGGCCGCGGTGGATTCTTGAACAGCCATACAGGCTGTTCAGATGTTAATGTTAGCAGGCGTTTAGCCGCCTGCGCCACCGCTCCCTAAAGCCCTAAATAGTCTGGGACCTCATACCATCAGGACCACCTCTCCCGGCATGATCCTTCCAGTCTTCTCTGATCTTTATCTTGAAATTTATTGAAGGTTCCTGGTCCACCAACTGCCCACCTGGTGTCAACAAGGGTGAGGGCATTCTCTGCAGTGGCCCCCATCCTGTGGAACCAGCTGCCCGAAGAGGTGCATGCCTTGCAGGACCTCCCTAGATTCTGCAGGGCATGCAAGGCTGCTCTTTTTCAGGAGGCCATTGGGTGACTGTGATTCACCAGACAGCTGGTATACTTCAGCTGTGTCTTCACCATCCACACATCCCCACTGTGCTTGATAGTGGATAGATTTTAATGGGGATAAATTTTCAACCATTTTATATTTTAAAGATTATTTATTGTGATGTATTGTTTTTATTGGTCTATTTTATGTGCTGTTAGCAGCCCCAAGTCCCATTCGGGGGAGAGGGAGTAGGATATAAATTTGATAAATAAATAAGTTTCTAAAAAGGCAAATGTTATGATGGGGATTATTAGAAAGGCGATTAAAAACAAATCAGCCAGTATCATAACGCCCCTGTATAAATCTATGGCATGCCCTCCTTTGGAGTACTGTGTACAGTTCTGGCCACTGCACCTCAAAAAAAGATATTATAGCATTGGAAAAAGTGCAGAAAAGGTCAACTAAAACGATTAATGAGATGGAACACCTTCCTTATAAAGAAAGGTTAAAGAGGTTAGGGCTCTCTAGCTTGGAGAAACAATGACTGAGGGTTGATATGATAGAGGTTTACAAAATTTTGCATGGGATAGAGAAGGTAGAGAAAAAAGTACTTTTCTCCCTTTCTCACAGTACAAAAACCTATGGGCACTCAATGAAATTAATGAGCAGTAGGTTTAGAACAGATAAAAGCAAGTACTTCTTCATCCAAAGAGTAATTAACACATGGAATTCACTGCCACAGGAAGTGGTGGTGGCTACAAGCACAGACACCTTCAAGAAGGGATTGGATAAACACACAGAGGTCCATCAGTCGCTATTAGCTGCAAGGTATAAATGAAAACTTATGTCTGGGGCAGTGATGCTCCATATTCTTGGTGCTTGGGGGGCAACAGTGGGAGGGCTTCAGGAGTTCTGGCCCCACTGCTGGACCTTCTCATGGCACCCAGGTTTTGGCCACTGTATGGCACAAAGTGTTGGACTGGATGGGCCATTGGCCTGAACCAATATGGCTTCTCTTATGTTCTTAACCTTGTCCCTGTGTTTTGGATGAGTTGACCCTTCCACACAGTCCTCAAAGGCTAACCTGCATAGTGTATACAAAGGCATCCTGGATGAAAGTATGGTATACATGACTGGGCCAGGTTCTGCCTCTCATGGCAAGGCTACAGCTGGCACACAAGCTAAAGATACACTTCCACCTGCAGATCCAGCTCTAGTAGCCCCTGCTGCAATCCTATTCCTGTAAAGGGCGTAGCAGACTCAGTCCACAAATCCCAACTTGTCTTACTATCAGATATCTGAAGAAGTCAGCAGTGACTCATGAAAACTCATACCCTGCCAC